AAATAAATTTTATTAAAAATATTTTTTAAATGTAATTATTTTTTTTGTAAATGTAAGTACTTTTTTATTATATTTGTTTAGTTTTATAAATCTAAATACTTTTTGGTTCAAAAAAATATGTAGGCACTTAATCGTTCAAAATATGAATGTTTTTTTGGGGTTTTTTCAGATTTTTTCACTATTTTACCACTTTAACTAGTTGTACAAGTCATAAGAATGTATCCAACAAGTTTTAGAAAAGTCCAAGGAGTTATTTAACATGTTTTGGATTGTCCAAGGACTTATTTGCTCTAAAAATTGTCCAATGAGTTATTTAACATGTTTTAAATTGTCCAATGATTTATTTGTTTCAAAAAATTGTCCAAAGAGTTATTTAACATGTTTCGGAATGTCCAAGGACATATTTGTTGTCAAAAATTGTCCAATGACTTAATCATTCCAAACACTAAAGTCCATTGAGTTTTTTTAGACTTTTCCCTATGGATAAATATAAATTATAGAAGATTTGTTATTATCTTTAAAATCGATTTAAATCATGTATTGAAAATATAAAAAAATTGATGTTACTGCTTAAAACCAGAACTGGATTTAGAATGGATTTTGTTTTACTAGAAGGGTACTCGTGCAATGCAGCGAAATACATCTTGATTTTAATATTTCATTTATTCTTTATCTCAATCGATGTTATAGTATGATCTTATGTGATTTTGAAAAAACGATAATGTTTTTTATTTGAATAAAATATAAATTTGAAGATATAATAAACTTTTGACAAAAATATATCGATATTAGTATCAAATTAACTATTTTAAAAGTCTTATTTTTTGTGTAATTTTTTAATTAATTTTTTTATTATAATTTAATTTAGGTTCAATAACGAAGTAATTTATATAATTTTCTTATAAAGATAATAATTAATTATTTTATTAGAACTCTATAATTATTCTAATTATATTTTAGATTTTTTATATTTTAAAATGAGATGTTTATCCTCTATTTAGTTATGTTTATCTGCAATTAGTTACTTGAATTGAAACTGGAGCTTTATTAAGTTGTACTTATGCATAATTTACTTGTAATCTTGAATTTTAAGTAATATGTATCAATATACAGTACTTCATGTATAAAAATGGTTTTTAAGAGTTTTTGTCAAATGCTTTATAATATATCATAAAGAAGTTAAATTGAATATCAGATTTTATCCATTGTGACGTGTGATTTACGAACGGTTGTAATTTTTAAATCGAATTATTTTCAGGGAAATTAACAGAAATAATCATTTTTATATTTTTTTAGTATATCTTTTTTTTTAATTTTAAAAATATCACTACCTTCATAAGTGGCACCTCCTCAATTTGTGGAGAGGTCAAAGTATGGAGAGAGAAAATTCATAAACCAGATCCGCAAATGTAGGGAACAAATCTGTAAATTAGATAAATGTTCAGAAGTGGCACTTCCCGAAGTGCCGGGACTAATTTACATAGAAAGAAGATAGTTAATATTCAACAACACTGTCTACAATTCAAGATGATAATGATATCTTAGCGTCGGTCACCAAAAACTGTAAAGATATTGAAGATTTACGAACAAGGTTTCCAAACAAAATTTTTACCAGTTTTATGTGCTTGTTTTATTAAGGAGTCGTTTATTAAATGCTTACACGGTAATCAAATCATTTATCTTACTGGATGAACATGACAAGTACCGAGAATCTTATCTGGTATGAACGATGATAAGAATGAAGAGTCTTACCGGTAAGCACTTATCGGACAAATTGTTGCATACGATATTGTTTTGATGGACTACAATCATACTTGATAGAATAAGTTAGGGTGTTAACTCTTATTGCTAAATGCTTACCAGGTAAACGTTTTGGTAAACAACCCCTACCTTTTATATGCTTTATATTTATAGTCAAATAATAAATTAACATATAATATTCTATAAATGTGTGGTATTTTTAAATCTTTACTTAATAAATAAATAAATGTTTAAAAAACGAGTTTTTATAATTTAATTATCACATTTTCTTTAAAAAATACGAGTTTTTATTATTAAATTATCGTAACCCATTTTTGAATTCTACAAAAGTCAATATTTAAGAAAATACGGAGCGTGCCTTAAGAACGAATTCTACAAAAGTCAAAGACCTTCCAGCCTAGTGGTAAAGATTTGGGCATGACATAGTCATGAACCCGAGTTCGAGCCCTGGGAGGGGAGTGTTGGCGACATTTAAGTGGGGCCATGTTTAGCCTCCAAAATTGCCGGGGATTAATCAGGCTTTGGCCCGGACACCCTTACAAAAAAAAAACATATTTTAAACAGGGATTGAGATCAGTTATATTAAAATCAGATACGTAAAGACTCACACTATTAAAACCCGTTATAACCAACTACATAATTAATCATAAATAAAATACATCACACTGTATATTTCTTGAAATTTGGATTCTTCCCGTTTACTTTTTATAAACCCGAATTGAATTGAATGACATGATAGTCATTTATCAGTTCTTTTAGATGACAGTTTTACCAGATCAGATACAAATTCGAAATAAATTAAAAAGAAGGTCTCGATGTCAGCCTGTAATGAATGCGTATGCATCATAGCTTTTGTGAAACCTGTGTCCGAGTTATTAATAAACGCGTAGACTTAATTTAATGTTGATTTTGTCGGTTTATGTTTTAAATATGTTCGTGTTCATTTATATCTGTTATTAGTCTAATTAAGGTGGTTTATTTGTATGAGTAGGTATTGAATGGCATAACTCTTGGAAGCTTCATAAGTAAGGTCTAAGAAGCATGACATAACTTCCTCATGTGAACACAATGAACTTCCAAGAACAAGATAGGTGGCAAAAGCCCATTTTTCAATTTCAATTAAATTTAAAATTTAAATAAATTATTAAGGGGTCGTTTACCAAACACTTACCCAAGTAAATGTTTATCAAGTTACGTTACCTTACTGGATGAATATGGCAAGAACCAAAAATCTTACCTGGTAAGAATGAAAGCAAGGACCGAGAGTCTTACCGGTAAGTGAGGGCGACGACTCTTACGATGGTTAGCATTTACCAAGTAAATTGTTGCAAAAATCTTACCATGGTTAGCGCTTACCGGGTAAATTGTTGCAAAAATCTTACCATGGTTAGCGTTTGCCGGGTAAATTGTTGCAAAAATCTTACCTGGTAAGTAAGTGATAGTGTTGAATTTTACCAGTAAGCGTTTATTAGGTAAATGTTTGGGTAAATGGCTCCTAAATATGTTATTGGATTTAAAAGAATTAGAACTAATAAATATATATATCAGACTTGTTAATTTATATCAGATCAAGAAAAAGGAACTCGACAGACAGGATAAATGTTAGTTAAATATTAAAGCTTTCAGTTTATAAAAGCATATTCAATAGATTCTTTATAATTTTTTTAAAATGGAGAACTAAAAGTTAAAATATCTAAAAGATTTATATTTAATTCGAACAAATTCTTTATTTTAGAGATTTTAACATTAATTATATTATTAAAAAATATA